CGATAATTGGGAGGTTGGAGATTGGGTGGAATAACTGAGTGTGGGTACTAAATTGTATTCAGGGGTGAGGAGGGTAGTGAGTGCTTTTTTCCAAGATATAGTTTGAGATCGTAGTTGAATAGGTAGTCAATTAAATTATATATAAACAATTCCTGAACTACCACAGGCTCAGAGATAGGCGATATGTTTATTTATAGCAAATGGCAGGCTTTATGATCGCTATCAACAGCACACTAATTGACTTCGGGCTTTGCAGAGGGGAGTAACATTTTATTATTTCAAATGGCAGACTTTATGATATTTATCACGGGGTGCGTGATAGACTTACCTCCACGTGGTGCACCCTGGGCAACGTATACTCATACAGCAAAAAAGTCTATTAACTGGCGATTGACTTCTGGCGCAGTACTCATCCTACCTTTTCTCTGTCTTCATGTCTGTCTCTTTACATCTTTAAATCACTCTTCTGTTCCCCACCCCTCGATTTTCTGTTACTTTGATGTTCCTCCCCCTGTGAAGTCCGAAGTCAGCTAAAGGGCTGATGATAAATATCAAAACGCCTGCCATTTGAAATAAATAAATGATATTTATCACTAGCCCCTAAGTTAACTTCAGCTTTCCCCATGGGTGGGGGTACATATATAGCAGTTAATTAGTAGCAGTATCTCTGGCTTTCCGTGAGCTGGACATCGAATCAGGTGGGTCTTCTCCATTTCCTCCTCTGGTGAACACCGAATCAGGTGGGTCTTCTCCATTTTCTCCTGTAGAGAATCAGATGGGTCTTCTCCATTTCCTCCTGTAGGTTTCACATCAGGTGGGTCTTCTCCATTTCCTCCTGTAGGTTACAGATCAGATGGGTCTTCTCCATTTCCTCATGTAGGTTACATATGGTGGGTCTTCTCCGTTTCCTCCTGTAGGTCACATAGACAGGTGGGACTTCTCCATTTCCTCCTGTAGGTTACATAGAGTATGTGGGTTGAGTGTATACTCTCAATCTGTGAAGGTGTTTTGATGGGTTGAGTGTATACTCCCAATCTGTGAAGGTGTTTTGCCAGGCTTTGGTGAATTTCGTATCCAGGCCAAATAATTGGCTTAGTGCTATCCTAATGGTCTCTATTTCTCCTTCGAAAGCGGATCTATTGTGTCCCGCTGATGCGTAGAAAGAGAAGAGTTCAGAGTAGACACCTGCACCAACGTTTGCTTGGCTTTCTATGTATGACCCATCAGGGAAGACTTGGAGCCATTGATCTGCAGGATAGTTGACATTGATTGTCTCAAGGGCCAGTGAGCGCATTTGTTCTGGAGGGGTGTTTGATTTCCTGAAGAAGTCGAGCAGTTGGGTGCAACACACTACATCAGTGTCTGCTAATGGGTTCATGAATAGAGGGAGGCTTTTTTGTTCTATGGCTTTCTGTATTAGACCAGATTGCGTTTTCAGATGACTTGATCTATTACCATAGGTGATGATGAATTTATCCATGAGAATTCACAGTAGCTTCTCACACAGGATCAAGGAGGGGAGTAACATCAAAGTCACTAAAAGTCGAGAAGAGTAAGAGAAGAGTGCCGAATTGATGTGACAGACAGACACAAAGGTAGATAAAAAAGTAAGGCGAGTGCTGTGGAAGTGGTCGAATATGGCATTCAGTGGGGTCATGGTAGCATAAAGTCGGAAGTCAACGGCCAGTTGATAGACTTTTTTTCCATATGTGTATACTTTGCCCAGGGTGGATCATGTCTATCGCGAGCCCCTAAGCGATATATAGGAACCTTATTCTGCTTCATATAGTTGACGTCTATAGCGATTAGAATCCTCATCCAAACTGACTAGTTTCTAGGAGCACTGGTCGCATTCATTGCCAAAAGCCAATAAGACAAGAACTTGAGCGTAAATGTCGGTTTAGTGTCGATACATTTTCCAACTCTGCGTGGGAATTTTGACGTCAGTCATAATTTCTTCCACGTTACGTTGTGACAAAAATCGGCATCAAAACCTCGTACAGGTTAGCATTTTAGGGCTCAAATTTGCCCACTAACTCCAAAGCGATTGACCATTTTGCCTTCTCGGGGAGCATAAATGGGACCTGGCCTGAGGCCTTTGACTTCATCAACGGACATGTTAGGCGCCATCCACTAATTGCATGATGGTTCCTGTAATGTTTACGGAACCTCTACCTGCACTTCAATTAATTTGATTTATAGTCCTATTACAGGAAAGAATGCAGCTTTTCGACTAGCAGATAATCACCCATATTCTAAACGCTTTCCATATTTAAATTTCTCATTCACTTTTGCCAGCAGCCTTCATCTTTGCACATCAACAAGAGTGCAATTCACTCCACCTTTTCAGCAGAGACGTCATTAGTAAATAGTTGTGATTCAATATAAGCCGTATACCTTTTTTGCGTTTTTGCTTGTTGCATACGCATTCCTTTCCGCAGTAACTGAAGAATATGAAGATAGCCAACTCCTATTGGGCCGAAATCCGAGAAAATTTGAAAATATTTTCGAAATAAACTCTTGAAGTATTAATATATCAGATTTTCATATTTCAGTAGCTCTCTTTACCTATTGGTATCTTTCATCACCTTTGAATCTTTAAAATGGAGTTCGAATCATGAAATTTTAATTTTTTCATCCTCCAATGACCTGTCCATTGGTCAATTTATTAGAACTACCGACTTAAATCCTCCAAATTTAGCTGCTGCGGTCGTGAATATCGATTTGTCGATCTTTCCTAGCGTCTAGCTGTTTTTACCTAACGCGACGTTTTCTCCAAGCCCATACTCATTGAGAAAAATTACTTGCTAACATCCATATTTGAAAACGTAACTTTTTTCATTGAGAGCTCCTTGATGTAAAAATCACGGTACGGTTACCACTTACTTACCATTAATTTTGGTCTTTCTTCTCGTGGATTGCTTCGCCACCACTCAACTTTTCTATATTATTACTCTCAGCAGTACAAATTTAGGCAATAGTCTTTTTCATGGGGAGCAACTAAACAGAGTTCAAAGAGGGGTCATGGAAGTTGATAGAGCAACAGCTGAGAATAGCGCCTTCATTTGGTTTGCGGATTCAATTCCAAGCTACCTAATTAGAATTCCTATTTCATTAGTTCGCTGGAAAATCTTTCAACACAGACTGAACTAACGTTTTCACTTCTCTCAACTTCATTGTGATTGACCCTTCGGTAATATTTGCTTCTGTCCCAATTAGTCAAGACTAAATTAATAGCGAAAACTATTAACTTGGTATTTTGGCTACCTAAATTCTCACCTTTTGTGACCTCATTGGCATGTCCGTCTGCTAGATCTGTTTCCAAGTCGCCTGTATGACTCCATAAGAGTCGGTGAATCTACAGTAATAGTCAAGACCTCTAGATGATGGAAAAACCTAGTGAACTTCATGAGCTCGAAATGTTCATATTGGTAAAGATCTTGGTCTACTGGTAACTGAAGACCCAAACACCAATAGGCGATCACAGCTCTTTCTTCTATTCTCCATTGATAGGTCTACTAATTAGGTGGATGAGGAAATAATCTGCCCAATGTCTATAGCATACCGAGACAAAATATAGACCTGATATCTTATCTCTAAACGTCTTACATGCTACCGTCTCAAAGAATACGTCCTCGTTTTATCCAATATTTCGTTATAAAATGTCAACATGCTCGAATACTATTTCAAAAAATTACACTCGAATTTTTGAAATAAGGGCCCCCAAACTCCATTAAGCATATACACTCAGATACGGTGCCTACTTTGAAACGCTAGATTTCCTGGATTACTAAGCAGTCTACGTATGCAACATAGGATCAATTCGACAACGTTTCTCATAGAATGGTCTCTTCGTTACAATGCTTATCATCAGCTCTGTTGATTTCATTTTTCCTTGCACTAGAGCCCAATACACTCGTAGCCACATGCAAACCTTGGTGATCTCACCGTAAAACCACATCACCTATCAGTCCTTACAATGCCGCATTCATTTTGTGGGGGGGGGAGGGCATTTCTAAACCCAAGTTGATCGAGATACTCCAAATAATTCAGCTGACTGACTTGAGCAGTATGCAACTTCTGGCCTAGCATTAATCGAAAGCCTTCATTTCCATCCAAACAGTAACCTCAAAAAATCCGACAATTAACAGATGCAAGCATTTCTGAAATAAATGGAATGCGGTGATTCCGAGGTAAAGTACAAAATCTTTTTGAAGGGTTGACGAGTGAAAGTTGAACCAATACTGAATGATTGAAAGTCTCCTTCTTTGTTGTTATCAAGGGAAGTAGTCGCCTGAGCGCCTGGATAATGATCACGGGTAAGCATAATGACCAGCGGCCAGCACGCGTTCGTGACCTTATCAACCTTTGAAGCATATAGACTTAAAAACTGATATCGACTGATAATTTTCTTAGTTATGATTACTTGCCTTTTTTAAAGTATCTGAGCTAATGCTTTGTGACTGGAGAGGATCCTATCGCAAAAAAGAACGAACAAAGTGATCCCTTCAGGTATTTCTTTTGTTCAAGCGGCTGATTATCTCATCAACACCGTCAATAAGGGATTAATAGAGAAGGGGAGTTAAGTAAAAGGAGAGAGGTATCGATTGGGAGTAAAATTGGGAGGGGGTCGATGCATCACATTCTCCATTTCCTCTTTCACTCGGCATTCAAGAAATCTTCATCTCAATATTCACCAGGGTAGTGTGCTTAGAACAATCCAAGTGGCGTTGTCCTCAACTATATCACTTTAACCACTCTCTCTGCCTCTCTCTGGGTCTATTTGAATGCATGATAACAATAGCAAATCAATGCGACGAAACACACAGAGCGAGGTAATAGCAAGGATTTCAAACAAGCAACCATCATAATGAATGACTGAGACTGTACAATTGTTGAAGGAATGGGGAGGGGGTGATTATTATAATACAAGCGGGAGACCATGAAAATTTAAACACTGAATCGCTGGAAAGACTGTTGGGTTGCTTCTTGATAATAGATCACTCCACTTTAGGGGAACATGGAGGTGGTTGAGGTTGCACTGGGGAAGTACCTCCTGCCTTGACATTTAGTAATAGAGGAATCCCACCAGAAGATGCCGAATTTGAGTTCGTGGCAGGAGTGGATATTGTATTGCTCGAGGGAGGTGCTGGTGGTCTAGCAGGCCGATATTTCCGCCGCCTGGCTGCTGCCAACGCCGCTACATCGCTCTTCCTTCCATTCGGAGAAACGGGGAGTTCAGGGGGTGGCAGCCTTGATATCGACCCACTACCATTGCTATTAAAACCTCCATTGCCTATTCTCATCATGAGTAGCCCATCAGCAAGGGCCTTTTCATCCGCTGGACTCATATTCTCGTCCAAATTTGTCGTCATCTTATCTGCTGATGCAGGAGGAAAGAAAATGACGCCCCGTGGAGATCGAAGATTTTGCTGACGCGCTGAGGAACGGGAAGAAGATCGTGATCTATTACCTCCAGTACCACCCACAGATCTAGGATAATTCGATGGGGATTCAATATCGTTCCCGTTCTGTATTTGATGTTGTTGAACTTGACCTGAAGAAGCACAACATGAACAGAACGGAGAATCAGGACGCGCACAAACATTGTCTAACTTTGTGTGACTAGCTGATCTACGAACTGCACCTGATGAAGGTCCGTTAAGCCGCCTCAAAGTATACACTGGCTGTTGAACCCCTTGAGTATTTTGATTAATGGCATTAACATTATTGGTGCAACCCCATCTAGCTGGCGAATCACACCTTCGACGACGAATAGAATTATAATGTGGGCTCTGTTGTAATTGTTGATGTCGAGGAGGCGAACACGGGACTCTACCAACTCCTGAGCACCTCGGCACTGGCCGAGGGAATCTATCTGGCCTCCAATTAGTCATCTGACCATGGTTAGACTGTTGATGGCTTATTTGATTCAAGACCAGTTGAGATGGTGACCCTGACTTTGGCGTATGTTCACCGCCGTTCTGTTGATCTGATAAGGAGGAATTTGACGCCCGATGAGAATGTTTAGTCACTACTTTTGAGAAGGTTTCCGGGTGCTGCTGTTGATTACTCTGGAGATTATCTGGGGAGGGACTCATTCCAGAGCCCATATCATCACCCACAAAGGAGGGAAGATCTTGTGAAGAGAGACCCAATCCAGCCATTTGAGTCATAGAGCCACTGTTAAGTCGCGTGAGACGACTTCCTTTACCCTGTACAATTGAGATAGCCATAGCATGCGTTGCTCCTGCTGCAGACTCTCCGCTCAGATCGGCGACACTATCCGCACCTGCGATATCTGATGTGGATCCAAGGAGGGTTCGTTTATGACGACTTGAAAGAACTGAGGTAGATCGGTAGCGGGAAGATGAAACAGGAAGAGGAAGACTAGTAGCCCGGGAGAATTCTTCACCTCCACTATTGGTTTTCTGATAGTGACTATGATTGTTATTATGATTGGATTCTCGGGATTTGCTATTCCGAAGGCAGGAAAGACCATTACCGCGTCCACCAGGTGGTTTTCTCGAGTGCTGATTCCTTCCACTATCTCCAAAGTTTTGTTTCATTCGTGGGGGAGGAACTAAAGCTGTAGGGTTCGCTGTGTCGATATATTTCGTAGTAGTACTCCTTGAAGGGTTCTTGGAAGATGCATAGACATATCGTTCATCATCATTGGATTCAATAAAGTGATCAGAAGCTCGATTACTAGTCTTCTGATGATTATGACATCGAGACCAAGCGGGAAGAAGGATGGGAGGCCCAGGATTAGAGGGTTCGTTTGAAACCCCCTCTTCCACATTACTTGAATGTTGAACCTGAACCGTAGGAGGTTGAATCGCAGCAGTGGCAGTGAGTTTAATATCTTTGTTTGGAGTTTTGGGGTGAGTTTCTGGTCCAACTGACTCAGTCGAGGATTCCCAATCGAAGGGATCCGAATCACGAATATTTCGACGGATTGCCGCCTGCTGGATGAGAGACCGTAAAAGTCCATAATCTGGTCTATCCGGGTAGGTGCATGACTCAATGTGTTCAAGGAAGCCTCGATATTCGCTGGGTAAACATCGTGCCAAGGATTGATGGTTGTAGGACTGCTTTATCTGGCCGACCTGTTAGAGAGGAAAGATGAACTAGTAAGGTGCTTAAATTTACATGAACCAGTTGAACAGTACTAACCATTACTTGAACGCTATTGGTTTAAAGCTACCTCGGCAAATACTTCGAATTGGTCAGGCAATCACTTCCCCAATCTTTTGTGCTATCGGGTATGCAATTTCATACTTCAAGTGGAAGGCAGTTAAACGAACCGAAGAGACAATATTTTCACGAATAAAAACCTCAAAGTAAACGTTGCGAGTGAAAGTAGGAAAAGAAACATCTTAGCGAATGAAATATTATAATAAGGCATTAAAGGACTCTCCCTCTCTTCAATCAACTATAATTCGTACTGGATTTCAAACAATTTCCAACAAGGAAACAAAACAACTGTTACCAATTAATGCCCCACAGTGCACGACTGGACCGTTTTGCCCACGAACTGCAAGCCATTACGTTTCACACTCCATTTACAGTAACAACCAACAACAACGGATTCCATTGCAAAGAACGTTCTTTTGTGCATAACAGTAGCATTTTTCATCTGAGAAAACGAATTCGTAGACTTTCCTATTTGCTATTCAAGGTAGACATTCCTTGAAAAAGGAGTACGAGAGTAAATGGTTAAGATTACCCAATTACTTGAATTGGTACATTTAACTTGATAGTTTAAGCGCAAACTACTAATATGATGAATAATGACCCATGTTAGCACTATTAACTCCCTCTTACTCAATGGCGATAAACATTATTAGGCCGACATTTACAACGAAATGCCAGCGTAGCTGTTTAATAATATTAAGAAGACAGATGGACATACCGAGGGCAAATTCAATAAAGGGTGTGAGTATTAGTACACAAAGGCCCACAGCAGGGCCTGATGCATATATGGCGTAAAATCATGGAAGGAAATGGGTAACCAGCTAATATAAGTAACGCTGGCAGAATACGAGTTTTCAAAAGGGAGAGTCAATAAAGCTATTCCTATATCAAAAATCAAAAATGAAAGAAAGCATACAATGGAAAGCACCGAAAAATCAGCTACACTAAGGTTGGATATTTGAAAAAAAATTGACAATCATATTCGAATTTCATTTAACCAACTCTGAATCCATCAAAATTCGAGTTGTTCTGAAAGAAGCTCAACTGACTAGCAACCAAACTTCAAGTAAAAATAAGCTGAGACCGTGGGATGCTAACATACAAAACAGGAACGAAATACCCACTAGCAAATCCTATGGATAGTAAGTTAGAAGATATCTGCAGTAATAAAGCAGCATTTACAGAGGAAATGAAGAGTGAGCTGAGGATTCAGTTAAAAAACGGCGATCTGCAGACCTTTGTTACAGCATATTCAAGGTTATTTTAGCAGCTATCTATAAGCAACAATAGAAGGTGTAACCTATATGAATCAACTCAATTATACTAGAACCAGTTTTAACCTTATAAGAGCACACAAAGGTCGACTTAACAATGATCTACAACATAATAAACTCCATTATTGATTGGATGGGTGCCACAAGGATTATTAGAAACAGGATGGAAGCGAATCGCATGAATATTGTCAATCAGATTTTCCATTTGATGAAGCAAGTTTGGGAATTTTCGAAGGGGAGAAGCAGCTAGTTTCAAGATCCTGGAGCTCGGATAGAGAAGAGTCCTTCTGATTCCACGAACCCCATTCACACAACTCTTGTTCTCTCTAGAGCCTGAACTGTCGTCCACTTACTATCTCCTTGGATCGATTTAATACCCATCACGCACTATATTGAAATTTATTGAGATAAAAAAAACTTCAAGTAATATAATCGAAACATAAGGAAATACAGAAAAGTATTGGAATAGCCCCCACTAGTTAAAAAATAACAAATGATCTGTCATTTTCATTTATTACATTCGAAAGAACGAAGCCAATATGACGATACAACCGGGCCGAATGATTGACACGCAAAGTTGCAATTTACATAACCATGACGCTGTGCACGAACGGTATTTGTAAGCACGACAGAAAAGAAAACATCACCCCCCCCCCCCCCCCCCACCACCACCACCACCACCACCACCTCACCTGCCTTCAGCTAATCTTTAACGCAGAACACACATGCGAACGTGAACACACGAATACGCGCGTGCATACCTACCACTGGTATGCCTTTAATTAACGAACAGTGTCAGAGGGAACTAGAATGAAAATAACATGAATCAACCCCCCCCCCCTCACCCCACCCACCTACCCTTGATCAATAATGCTAGACTACAAGATTTTACCAATAATTAAATCAGCTGACAGAGTAAAAAAGAGAGGTTAATATTGACAAAAAGCCCGAATGGTTGGCCAATAAGATGACTTTTGGTACACTCTCCAGTTATTAAAGCGCAGAAACTTGAATCCTTCACTTTACGTACTATTTTTCCATTAAATTCCGTAAGACTACCGAGTGTAAAATTCGTTTTGGTATGATCAGTTCCAGAATCAATATGTGGAAACTCGCTTTTCCTAATATTCTGCAAACCTCATTAATACGTTTGTACATCTGAACAGTCTTTGTCAAATACTCAATAGTGCTATCGAATAACTGTGCTCGTCTTCTCACTCGGTCTGGGTAAACAGTAGCCTGGTGATATGTTGTTGACACCTTGATCATAGTGAAAGAATCAAGGCTTTTAGCAGCCAATAATCGCAAAGAAGTCTTCATAATGCTTTAAACAACTCGGCGCAGTTACGATTTTAGCTTAGGAGTATTTTAAACTCCACCTCTCTTTAAATTTCCATTTCATTAGAATCTAAAAAATATTAATGGAATCACTTCTCTCATCTTTTATCCCACTCTTTCCCAGACCTGATAGCGGAGTGAAGTGGCTCACATACAGAATATACCGGTAGCCGAACTTTCGGTGAGTGTAAGTGAAAGCTGCTGATTTACTGATTATCAGATTCATAGTTTCTGATCGAAATGTCATTTATGGACAAAGAGAACAGACACCCCTTTCTCACTTAATATTAGCTTGTTAAGCGTAACCAAAAAAGGAAACTACCTACATTTAGGGCGAGTTCCCAATTTTGGGGAAAAAGCCATGTAAACAATTTGTTTTCACTCACAGAGATATGCCTATTTCTGTCAAGAATTGTTTTTATTATTTACTTTATATAAACTTCATAGTATCAAATTCTGCTTTATCAGTTGAAAGACAATAAACTGGTTTGTACACAAAGTATAGGCTCAATCTTTATGCAAATAAGGTCAGTTTAGAAAGAGATAGTGCAAAATTTTTAACTATAACTGCATTGGCGAGTCTTATATCTATTCAAAAATTACTTTTTCCTAATATCGTTATTAGATAGTTCAAACACTTCAAAAATGAACAAATGAAAATATGTATCAATGGTCTGAGAGCTATTCCCGAGTTCTAAAATGAACTCAAAGTACAACTCTTGACCTCACCATCAACGGTCATTCACTCCATCCTCACTCATCGTATATCTCAGGTAACAAATGGCGAGACCTTGAGGTTAAGAAGAGAACACTGGCATTGTGATTAGAATTACTAAAGACTTTGAAGAGAAATAGCCAATCTGGTCACACGAAACTCCTGAAATTGCTCCAAACATTAACGTCTTTCCTACTCCTCCTCCTACCTCCTCAAGGTTGCAGCATACCAGAATGCTCCAATAGGCTGCGCCATCTGCCAAAAAATCGGGCCATTTGCGTGTAGTTCTTAATATGTCAAATGAGTAGAAATGGTGTGAATTCATGGCCAAATTCGTACGTCCTCCCTTGATGAAAGAGACTTACTAAGTAGGCATATTCATTATCTTTCATAATAGATAGCAAGTAATGGAAAAGGTCAATTTTACAATTAGTAAGGACTTACAGAAGAGATTGGCATTAACCCTATGATACGCATTCAAACCCATATTTAACAAAATTAAATTCGATTGTTTTAGAAACAGCCAGAATGGAATAAAAAGCTTTTTCCACCGAAGTTTTCAGTCACGGCTAACAGAGCATTTTAAACGATATACTTTACGATAGGCGAAAATTTAAAATGACAAACAAAGGAAAAAATTTTAAGTTTGTATTTCTGCTTAGAGAAATCCGAATACAGCAAACCGCATAGCTGTAAAAGGGGAAATGATAATTGCAAAAGCATTATTCACTTTTGCGCAATTTCTACTGGCAAATCATATTCGATTACAATTTTCTATGTAATAACCTTCCTTCCTCCAATCTAGTTAACAGAAACCACCGAAACCACCACTGACAAGCCACAAAAGGTCAAACTTTAATATGAAAAGGTTATCCAAGCGAATGCAGAAAATCAAACAAGTGGAAGACGGTGACTCACCTGCTCCTTATCTTTGAGTCGTCGCCACGGAAGTTGCCCAGAGGCAAACTCAACCAACATGTAGAACATCGACCAGAGATCATCGTGCCGACCAAGCTCCTTATTCGCATGGGCATTTTTCGATGCATAGCGGACAGTTCCACGGAATCCGGCAACGGGCCGAGCGGGCCGTACTTCTCCCTCAGGGTTAGTGTACTGTCTAGCAAGACCAAAGTCCAGAAGAAAGAGGGTTCGAGAGAGGGTGGGAGTACGACCCATGGCAAAATTTGAGGGTTTGATGTCTCGATGGAGGAATCCACTGTCATGGACAGCCTCAATGGCATCCAGCATCTGAACTGACAGACGCACAACAGTGTTCAGAGAGAAGACACCACGAGGCATACATCGACGAAGTTCTGCCAGATTTCGGCCCTAGAACAGAAGAGAAGATATACAATTTCGCAATAAGTAATACCATGCGAAAAATCAATAACGGCGTTCAGCCGCCGATAATAATATGGCTTTCAGCAGAACTATACATAAAAATGTCAATAAAATTCTAAACGTTGTAACAATAAATGCCAAACTACGATCGCTTTGTATTAGAGCCAAAACCTCAAAAGCATATTTCAATATTTTCGCCCGTTTTGCAGACACTCTCATGCCCAAGGTGAACTGTGCAATGATACTTGAATCAAATTAGCAAATTGAATAGAATGGGGATTTTGGTGCTTAGTTGGGAAAAACAATTTTTGTATTTAATTCAAATACCTATTCTGTGCAATAAGCCAAGGCATAGTTGGCCTTTTGGAAACTTCTGAAATGTATTTGGTTGGATATAAATGTAATGTGGAATAATTTATTACCAATTACTAAAATTGGGGGAAACCGTTCAGCCGCAGTTTATTGTTGTCAATAATTGGGAAAGCAGCAAGAAAAAAATAAAAGTTAAAGATTTAAGTATATTAAACGTAAAAGAGACAATTCTTTAACAACACACACCCGCCGCGAAGCAAGAATGACCGCCCAAAAAAAATCGGGAAGTAAGTTGGAAGGTTTAACCACATCAGACAATAACAACCTTCTCACGATTAAGGAGCATACGCAAAGAGAAAAGGGAACTCAAAAGCAAATTTTGTTAAAAAGGGATCGGGAGCCTCTAAGGCAATGGAGAAGGAGTTGTGCAATTATGTCGGAAATTATATCACATTTTATCATATATTCAACAGTAAATAACATTTAAATTTTGCTCTTATGGGTACCTCTAACACCAATGCTTAGATTCAAGCTAGGTAAAGTAAAAAAAACATTTTACAGCCAATTTAAGTAGGTTGGCTCCACCACCAGGATTAGAAACTAAAGCAATTAGAGACAGGTCCCATTTCTTTTGACGTCAAACGAATGATGACTGGAGAAAACGTGATCGACAAATTTCGGGTAGTTAACGCAAAGTCGCAACCGAAAGCATCACACCCACTTCAAGGAAATAATTGTGCCAAGCCTTAATCAAGTTCTGGCTAATTCATAACCGTTTGAGAACAAAATGCTTACCTTCATTTTCCTTCGACAATCCCACTCTTCTCTGGTTCAATTTTACCTATTTGTACTTTAATCAAACGCCCACTCTAGACGTTCTTCGATTTGCGCTATTTGAGCAGACGGCTTTCCAGATTCAAGTCTACGCACCTTAACTGCGCCACACTAGGTAAGCGAAAAAGGTCTGCTGGATTTAGGGAATGAATTTATTAGCCTTAGAGGCCTAAAGATGACCTTTTGCGCAGTGGACTTTGCACAAACACTAGTGTGTGTGCGCGTGTAGGCGGGCTGGCAGAGACCAACTATGCATGCGCGCACATACAAGTTTTGCAAAGGAGCAACACAAAACTTCGAAACACCTTACTTAGACGAAAATGTAAATACATCTAGGCGACGCATGAAGAGAAGCCAATCTCTCTTTTTATGAGCAAACAGATGTGCAAGTTGAGGAAAAAACGCAGCTAGTTAAAACTGCAAAAAAGAAAACATGTAGCGGTAGCAGATCAATGTCAGAACTGGTAATAAGAAGAAGCCCTGTGCCTATAAGAGACGCTAGCATTTGCCTTAATTAATCCACCAAGAACGCCATGGGCATTCAAAGAAAAGGCTATTGAGCCACCCTGTGATGATGATCGAAATCCCTAAAAATAAACAGTTAGGGAACTCATGAAAATTGGCCTCATCAGATGTTACGGGAACGAGCTCCATAATTGTACATGGACCAAGGTTGGAATGACTTAATTAAGTGATTAACAGGAATTTTCGGCAAAAGTGCACGAAGTGCGGCCTAAACGTCTTGTAGCTATTGCAACAGGTGTGACCTCGTTTATTAACCATATTTCACCCTAAGCAAACTTGACATACCACCAAACCCTCCAAACTCCACAACGTTCGACTTGAGTAAGGGGTAAACGTCTAGGAGGCACTCCTGCGAGGAACTTACATCTTAAGGCCCATCCTTTCAGGGAGAATTAATTAGACGGAGGGCCATTCGTATTATTGCCTGGGTAAATGTTAATCATAAATTTGTTATTTCAGATGTTTTAAATCAAAACCAAATGATTATAAACATATTTGCAAGTACTAAATGCAGGAAAGCAGTTAGGAGCAAGGATAAATAAACACAACTGAGATATTCAAGGAATCCCTACTTAAATCAACGTTAATTCCCATCCATCTACGCTATTTATTCAAAACTTAAACCCAGAGATGCGCATTTTCTTTGGTTAGAAGCTAATTCAATTAAAAGCCGGAGCATGGCATAACGAAATGTGGAACATTCCCGAACATTTAATCAAAATGTGAAATTCGAGGAAGGTAAAGCCATTGGCAATCTTAGAAAGATAACAGTTTCCCACCGCTGAGAATAGGCAATTGAGGCAAAATGAAAAAATTCCAGTCAATTCTAATTAAGTGATAATAACTGACTCATTTAGAAAAGGTCGATAGAAAATAGGGCGTTAGGAGAAACATGGAAGTTAATCGGTCAGGAAGAAGTCCGTAAGCACTAGGCAGTCAAAAACCTAAATTTGGAATTAACTGGAGCCTTAATAATATAGTTCCTAACACTTGGAATAGATGAATGCACATCATGATTGGTACTCTTCTGACAGCTCGATACCCACTACTCAGCAAGAATTTCATTAAACTGAGCAAATTAGTCTGCATCAGGACCTTTCAACTTTGTCGAGAGTTGCATCAGTCCCCGAGACTACATCTCCGATGTTATCCCCAATGCAAGACACTAAATCCTCAATTTTATTGTCTAACTGATATAATCATACGCCATCTTAGTTTTTAAATAAGGGAGAACCATGAGACATACAAAGCACGCGATAAGGGGAAATAGGCGGTATGACAATTTATTCGCGTCTTAGAAAGAGAAGAGAACGCCACAAATCAACTACTGAAACATCAAGTGTCAAAAACAAAAAGGGAAATGAAACACAACATCTAATAAGGGGAAAGGTGTTTTTCGCAGAAACGGAACCCTTTTCCCAGCACCCTTCATTAAAGAAACTGGTGCTGTTTTTTATGGACTTTTGCTGCGAGTACACCGCTTGTATCAAAATAACCACCGTTCGGCCGCAGTCCAAACATTTAAAATACTACACACACACACACAGTTAGAAAGACCATTTCTGTTAAACTTCTACTGCGTAAGCAGAATGACCTTTCAGCCGCCCACTGCAGTTAAAATGAAACTCAGTTTAGGAATTCTATCTTCAAAGCTATGCCTAAAGGCAAAGTTAGAGATCGATGCTCGTCAGTGAACATCTAGCGATGTTGAAGTTAAATATAGTAAGATGAGTAAAATGAGAGCGGCTCCAGGATGGAGATCTTTCTCGAGATATTTATAAGGATAAACATAGACGTAAATCATTTGTCAAAACCTGCCATTAGGGATTTCAAATCTCGGATTAGAGACTATGGGGAGGGAGGAACTTAGAAACACATCAAAAGCCCATTAACCTCAAGCAGAATACGGTGTGAAGGAGGCCCATCATTTACAAATTCTCTTAGCATCTACCTGACTTATGTAAGTGACTTGACTTTTCCTAATAATGGGCTACTTCATTTAATCATGCGAAATGATCATTAATAACCGCTTTATGAAGAAGTATGAACTGGAACAACTTTACTGCATTAATTACTGCAATAATAAAGAAAGCAATCCCACGTAAAGCGACGTTATGTTGTCTCAGTTACCCAGATCTCCTCCATGCACGACCACGACCAATCACAACAACAAACTTTCTACAAACAGTGGTAGAACTGCTCCCCTTAAAACTTGATGTGACGAGACCCGCAGACTAATGTAGCTCCAAACTTTAGAATCTACACTTTGAGAAATTCTCGAAGGTGGATACTAAATCACCTGTCTACATTGAGGACGCACGCTGTTCCTAACATATTGAGCTTACCTTTCTAATCTGGTAGCTAATTTTCCCACCTAAAAAACTGAATTACCTGTTCCATTAAAAGAAACCTGGCTGACAATGAACGAGACATGGATCTACTTTCGTTAGCATTTTCAGGAGATTGTATCCCTAACCAATCTCAGATCATTAAAACAAAAAAGAACCTTCAAATACTAAAAAGGAAAAAGACTCGGTACAGAAGAAGAAAAAGAGAGAACCGAATAAATAAAGGAGAATTAAAAAAGAAATTGTACACAAAGTCGTCCTTTTTCCACTCAAAAAAGTTGAGAATTCCTTGATGGATTGAACTCCTTTTAGGGAATACGAACGAATTGTTAGCTAGACAAATGTAGTAGGAATTTTCGCTTTTAAATTCGGCGTTCATGTGCTCAAATTTTCAGGTTAACAACGGGAAATCAACCAATTTTCCTCTAACCAAAATTGCGGATACAATACAAACCCCAAGTCCAACATACGCTGTTTGACATTACTCCAGTAATTAGAAATGGCAAACTTGAGCCTAAATAATGGGAAGACAGCTTTCAGATATACACTTGTTGACTGGTTACAGTCCTTTTATACATCGAATTTAATGGAGTTGGATTAACGAGAATCGAACCGGAGTCAGCATTATCTGACGGAAAGTTTGAATGACAGTAACTGCTTCTTTGACCACTTCTAACCAGTTGTTAGTCATAAATAAAGAAATGACAAATCCTGGTATGGAAAACGAGCAATTTGTGAACACGCTAAATTTTAGTTTTCCGCTTAGCAGCATAAAGCGTTTTGATAAATAAATCAAATATTTCATTATATCAACTGATCAACAAGCCCAGAAAAAATTGAACAATGGAAAATGCGGACACTATGCAGTAAATAAAAAACTCATGAAGAGGGTAAATCAAAGCTTTCAAAGTATAAGGTTCACAGTAAAATCCCCAATTTCATTCAATCCCCAATTTCATCTTGCACTGTTCTATTTATATATTTTGCCTGTTCAGGTGCCACCAGATGATCGAAA